TGAAATCGAGTACTGTCATCTCTAGATGCTTGTGACTTAGCAATTCATTTCCTTCCGATGGTCTAACAAACTTATCCAGACCATATTTGGGGAGAGAGGCAGGTGTTTTATGTCCTCCCAAACCCATATGTTGAAACTTAGCCCTAAGGTGGTGGTATGAGGATGTAGAGCTTTGGGTGCTGTAGGATCATGCGGTTTCCACCTTCCTTAATAAGATTAGTGCTACCTTAACCAAGGCCTGGGGACTTGCACTCACAGCCAGGTGGGGATACAGCAATAGCCACCTTCCTTGCAACAGAGAGAGCCTGTGTCAGACCATGCACAAGAAGCTCTGCCAGCCTGAACTTCCTGGGTTCCAGAAGTGTTAATGGTAAATGTGTGCTTTCATGAACTGTGAACTCAAAGTTAGTTCATTATTATATCTTGAACATACTAAGAAGTAGGTATGGCTTTGTTGTTAGATAAGCAAGATGGTCTCATGAACATGCAATGCAAGGTAAGTGGATGAAAGAAACAATAGCTATGTTTTCCAAACCATAAAGAAGATGGGAGTGTTGACTGGGAATCATTCCTCACACAGCTCTTTCATTCACCATCCAAAGCAACAAGGAAGGACACTTTGGCTAAGATTGTTCAGTGCTCTACTTTGAGAGGGCCTAAGAGTAAGAGAATTACTGACCCAGGACCGATGACACTCTGCATTTCTCACCAGACATGGACCAGTGTGTGAAGTGTCCAGCTCATCAGTATGCCAACACGGAGCGAACAACCTGTCTCCAAAAGTCTGTGACCTTCCTGGCCTATGAAGACCCCCTGGGGAAGACTCTGGTCTGCACGGCTCTCTGCTTCTCTGCACTCACAGCTGCTGTCCTTGGGGTCTTTGTGAAGCACAGAGACACCCCCATAGTCAAGGCCAACAACAGGGCTCTCAGCTACATCCTGCTCATCTCCCTCACCTTCTGTTTTCTCTGCTCYCTGCTCTTCATTGGCCGTCCCARCWCAGCCACCTGCATCCTGCAGGAGACCACATTTGGACTGGTGTTCACTGTGGCCGTTTCCACAGTCCTGGCCAAAACTGTCACTGTGATTCTGGCCTTCAAGGTCGCTGTCCCAGGGAGAAGGATGAGGYGGTGGCTGGTGTCAGGGGCACCTAACTTCATCATTCCCAGCTGCTCCCTCATCCAGCTGACTCTCTGTGGAGTCTGGCTGGGGACCTCTCCTCCCTATGTAGACACAGACACACACTCTGAACATGGCTGCATCATCATCACGTGCAACAAGGGCTCGGTCACTGCCTTCTACTGTGCCCTGGGATACCTGGGCTCCCTGGCCCTGGGGACCTTCACGGTGGCCTTCCTGGCCAGGAACCTGCCTGACACCTTCAATGAAGCCAAGTTCCTGACCTTCAGCATGCTGGTGTTCTGCAGTGTCTGGCTCACCTTCCTCCCTGTGCACCACAGCACCAAGGGCAAGGTCATGGTGGCCGTGGAGGTCTTCTCCATCCTGGCCTCCAGCGCAGGGCTCCTGGGCTGCATCTTTGCTCTCCATTTCTACATTATGCTCATAAGACCTGAGAGGATCGGATCGTCTGAATGATTTAAAGAATAATGAGATTTCCAGGGAAACAGACATTCTGAGAGTTTATCTCATAAGTCTCTTTCACATTTATAGGATATTGAATCAAAAAGAAACCCAGTTTTGGATTCCTGATTTTAAAGGAACAGTAACTAATTAAAATAAAATAAATTAAAATAAATTGGCCCAGCTCCTTTTTAAAAAGAGTCATTTTGTGAAAGTACCCTCACTGACCATCAGGCTGCAAGCCACAATGCTATCCTACAATTAAGGCTGTCCTTGAAATCATAGTACTAAACTAATAGCTGTATTTTATTCATTAATTGGCTGACACTTATACATATCTATATTTTGATAAAATATCTCAATATGCTTGTGTCATTTTCTGTTTTCCTCTTTAGAACTGGTTATTTTATTGTTTGCATAACTTTTACCTGAATAAAACTCGATTAGGATAAGCCATAGCTAAGCAAAGAAAGGGGCTGAAAGTAGGAAAGTGTTAGAAATAATGGACATAATCAGTTTTTGAAGAAGGCAAGAAAGATTGGACTCCAGAATTGATAAAACTTGACCGTGGCCCAGAGATCCAGAGGAGAGGCCTGCCCGCCACACTGCAGCTGGAGATAGGGAGGAGGATATTGAATCAAAAAGATTCACCACACCATGACCCAATATCCAAAGGAGAGGCCTGTCCCAGGCCCAGAGATACACAGTGAGCCACTCCACGCTGGGGTTCATTATTCACCAAAGCGTGGCTCCACAGCCCAACATAAGGGTACAAATAGGCTCGAAACTACCACTGCGGCAAAATTGGGGTATCACCACTTGTATCAAGGGACAACAATAAGGACCTTGTAACAAACCACCAAGGTCCTTGTGGGCCTGACTGCACCAGAGGTTTCTCTACTAGGGGTGATAGCAGTTATCCTGTTGCTGAGGTAACAGGGAGTCTTGCATAGGGTTGCCTATCTYTTGTTTTTCCTACTAACAGCCAAATTCTTATGATTACCCCTTCACTTGTCATATAATCTAATTCCTCCATATTCTAACATCCTACCTCATAAACATCTCAGCCAACCTCCCAGTTCCCCCTTCCACCATCAGAAACTATAAACCATTACATAAACCTTTTGACTATAAAGTAGAAGATAACCTAACTCATCATTTCTGATTATAGTAACAAATGTGTAAATATAAAAATAGAAGCCAACTGATTCATGGCTGCACGTTGGATACATTGAGTGCTGTAATATTGATCTTTCCCTTAAAAGTGAGGTATTGGAAACCTGTAGGCTCACTATAAGACAATAAGGCAGAAGCTGTAATACCTCAGATCTACACTGCAAGAGAGAAAGACTCAGATATCATGAAAAAACAAGGGAGGAAATTGCCTCAAACAAACCAAGATACTACAACAATAGAATCCATAGTGCAGTAGGTGAAATGTCAGAGAAGGAGTTCAGAATATACATAACTCAAAATGATTTGGGAATTAAAGAACAACCTAAGTGAGCAGATACAGGCAAAAATCTATCACTCCTACAAAGAGGTAAGAGAGCGAGTACAGGTTGCAAGAGATTACTTCAAGAAAGAGAGATACTAGAGAAAAAATAAATAGAAATCCTCAAAATGAAAGAAACAATAAGCCAATTTAAAAACTCAATAGATAGCATCACCAACAGACTAGATCACATGGAAGTCAGAACCTCAGACAATGAAGACAAAACATACAATCTTAAAAATAAAGTTGACCTCACCGTGAAGATGGTAAGAAACCACCAACAGAACATCCAAGAATTATGGGATAYCATCAAAATAYCGAATTTAAGATTTATTGGGATAGAGGAAGGTTCAGAGATTCAAACCAAATTTCCCAAGCATGAAGAATGAACTGGAAAATCAAATACAAGAGGCCTATAGGACACTAAATGTACAAAATTACAACAGATCTGCACCAAGACACACTATAATGAAAATGCCTAGCATACAGAGTAAGAATAGAATTTTAAAGGTTGCAAGAGRAAAAAATCAGATTACCTATGAGGGAAGATCAACTCAGATCTCAGCAGATTTTTCAACCCAGACTCTCAAAGCTAGGAGATCCTGGAACAAGCTCTAAAAGATAATGAGTGGATGCCAACAAAGAATCATATATCCAGCAAATTTTTAATATTTATTTTTTAGTTGTAGTTGGWCACAATGCCTTCATTTATTTATTTTTATGTGATGTTGAGGCTCGAACCCAGGGCCTAGCATGTACCCAGGGAGTATACAAAGTCAAACTCAGAAACAGAGTCAAATGGTGGTTACCAGAAGCCGAGCAAGAGGGAACTTGGGGATTATGGGCTAAAGGAATTAAACTTTCATTTACACAGGAGGAATGAGTTCAGGAGATCTGCTAGAGTGCTCATTACAGCTAATGAAAAATATTTTRTACTTAAAATGTGCTGAAAATGCTAGATTTTCAGTATTGGAATCTTGACTAATAAGTATGTAAGATAACATATATGTTAAAGAGCTAGATACAGTCATTCCTAAATACGTAATCTCAAAATATCTTGTGTAGAATATAAATGTATTCAGTTTGTACTTGTCAACAAAAAATTTAAATAAAAATGAGTAAATAAAATGCTATCACAAATGTTTTCTGTGAAGAATGGTATCAGGAAAACATGACCAGGGCAGACGAGTGCTGTGTGAAGAGCAGGCCATGGAAGCTGGGCCACGTGGAGCAGACAACCATGAGACTTGTGCAAGAATCCCCAGGGGCAGAGCTCAGAACAGCAGGCTCAGGGGTAAGTGGTCTCAGTTCTGTGCAGAGGTCAAGGTGAGCTTCCCAGCTTGTCCTCCACGCAGCCTACGCCCTGTCAATCACGAAGCCCATTTATTCCAGGAGGGCACTGAGACCTGAGAGTGCTATTAGATGTGAGTGGCACAGGAAGTCTTCACTGACTGACCTCAGCCCTTCACCCTCTTGCTAAAGCATCATGTGCAATCACACTCCTGGGTGTTTGGTTGATTCCAACACCAGCTCATTCAAACATGCCCAATTTCTCACACAACTCGCCCTGGCCCCGAGGTCACTGGGTTGCAGGGCCCACTGTCTCGGGATGTGGTGGTCCCCAATGCCTTGTTGAAACATGATGAAATCGCAGGCCCCATAGGAGGAGTCCCAAACATGTTTTTCAACTATAGTTTTCACCAAGTTCCAGGGTGACAGGTGCAGAGCCTCAGGGCACCGATCCCCAGAGCTCCTGGATGGACTAAAGGGAAGCAGAGAAAAGACAGGGACACCAGAGCTGCCTTGACCACAGGACACTAAGGGCAGGGTCAGAGCACCAAGTCTCCCTCAGTAGTCCCCTTTGCTCCTGGCTGTGCCCAGGCCTGGCCAGTTGCTCCTGCATGGGCTTTCCCAGCCGGAGGGCATGGAGTGAGTGGGGATTTTCTGTGCCTTACTCAGGGTCTGACCCTCCCTGCAGAGCTGAGACTGGGGACATGATCCAGCCCCCACTCCTCACCTCACACTGTGCATTAGGCTCTGTCTCTGTTTGGGCAGAGCCGGGCATGGTGTTCTTTCTGGTTCTTCTCTTCCTGCTCCCACAGCCTGTACATACTTCATGGGTGGAGATTCAGAATTGTTTACAATACTTGAGGCCAGCTGTCTACAGAGATGGAGACCTGGTCCTCAGTGGGTTTTTCCCCCTTTACTACATGAACCAGGATGCAGACTTATCCAGGATATCCTTTTTACTCCAACCGAAGACTGAGGTGAGAGCTACTAGGTAAGTTTCTAGACCGTGTGTGTGTGTGTGTGTGTGGGTGGGTGGGTGGGTGTGTGTATGTGTATTAGGTATGGTCATGATTTTGTGTAACTGGATTTTTTTTTTGCTTGTGTGTGTGTGTGTGTGTTTCCCCCATGAGTTATGAAAACTGTGCACAGCAATGGCAGAAACATGAAACAGTGAATTCTGAGGTCCTTTCCTTCTTTTTTTAGTTTTCTTTTATTTTGTGCATTATAATTATACATAATAGTGAGGTTCATCCTGAAATATTCRTAAATGCATACAATATAATTTTCTCCATTCCACTTGTCTTTTATCTTTCCACAACCTTCCATTTTCATCTTTTGCTCTATGATACCTTTTCACATTTCTATTGGTGCCTTACAGCTGTACATAATGGTGGCATTCGTTGTTACATATTCCTACCTGCACACGAATATCAGTATAATTTGGCCACTATCACCCTCCAGCACATCTTTCTCCTCCCCTCCTCCCACCCCTTGGGCCCTTTCCTCTACTGATCTCCTTTCCATTTTCATAACATCTCCCCACATTTCTTTTCATTTTTCCTGTCTAACTTTTAGGTATGAAAAAAATGTGACCCTTGACCTTCTGAGTTTCTCTTATTTCACTTAACATAATGGTTTCAAGTTCAATCCATTTCTCTGTAAATGACATAATTTCATTTTTCTCTATGGTTGAATAAAACTCCATTGTGTGTATGAACCATATTTTCTTTCTCCATTAGCCCATTGATGGATACCCATGCTGGTTCCATAGTTTAGCTATTTTGAATTTTTCTGCATCACTGAATAAGAGGACTTTAGTTCTTCAGGGTAAATACCAAGGAGTGGTATACCTGGATTCCATGCCTAGTCTTTTGAGGAACCATACTGATTTCCATAGCGATTGTACAATGAACAGTCCCACCAACAGTGTAAAGTGTTCGTTCCTTTTTCTCCCCATCCTCTCCAACATTTACTATTATTTGTGATCTTGATGACTGCCATTCTGACTAGTGTGAGATGAAATCTCAATGTAGACTTGTTTTGCATTTCCATAATTGCTAATGACATTGAAAGATTTTTCATATATTTGTTGGCAGTTTGTATTTCTTTTTTTGAAAAGTGTTTGCTTAATTAATTTGCCTATTTATCATTTGTGAGGTTTTGGTGTAAAGTTTTTTTTAGTTCTTTATACATTTTCTGTATTAATCCTCTGTCAGAAAAGTAGCTAGCAAATATGTTCTCCCATTCTGTAGGTCTGTGCTATAAAGAAGCTTTTTAATTTGACACTATCCCATTTAGTCACTCTTGCCATTATTTCCTGAGCTTTAGGGGTCCTATTGAGAAAGTCGTTGACCGTGCCTATTTGTTGATGTGTTGACTCTATGTTTTCTTTGAGAAGTTGCATATTTTCTGATCTAACTCCTAGGTCTTTTATCCACTTTGAGTTTATGRTTGTGCAGGGCGARAGATAGAGGTCTAGTTTCGTTCTTCTAAATATGGAGAATCTGTTTTCCCAGCACCATTTGTTAAAGGCTGTCTTTTCTCCAAAGAATGTTTTCAGCACCATTGTCAGGGATCAGATGACTGTAGATGTGTGGGTTTGTCTCTGTGTCTTCTGTTCTCTACCATCAGCCTATCTATCTGCTTTTAGGCCACTACTGTGCAGTTTTTGTTACTATAGCTCTGTAGTCAAATTAGAAGTCAGCTATCGTGATGCCTCCAGCATTGCTTTTTTTGGTTTAGAATTGCTTTGGTTATTCTTGGTCTTTTTTTCCTCCTAAAAAAAAGACTTTAAGACTTTTTTTCTGGGTCTGTGAAGAAAGTCAAAGGTGATTTCATTGAAACTATATATTGTTCTAGATAGTATGACATTTTAACAATACAAATTCTACCTATCCATGAACATGGGAAGTCTTTCTATCTTCTTGAGTCTTCTTTAATTTCTTCCTTCCATGTTCTATATTTTCCATTGTAAAGACCTTTCATTTTATGGTTAGTTTTATTCTTAGGTATGTCATTATCATATATTAGGTCTTTTTTTGAGACTTGTGAATCTATACTTTTTTAAAGACATAGGATAAAAATTCAGCATCTATTGAGACCACTCCTTCAGTCTTATCCCATTGATCAGGCACTGGGGACATTGGAGGGAGTTGAATTTTTTTCAAAAGGTGATCCCATAGAAGTGGAGAATAAATCAGTTTATCAGAGGCTGAGTGAACAGGGACTGGTGAGGGGTGGGAGAGGTGGATCTATGGTGCTAAGTTACAGTTAGACAAGCAGGATTGACTGGTGTGCTCTTACCAGGAGGATGACTACAGACAACGATGATGACTGTGTCCTTGAATAACTCAGAGAAAGGGTTCTGCATGTTCTCACCATGTAAAGAGAGAAACAACTGAGTAGACATGTGTAACTGAAACTAGACACTAAACAATGAAAACCTCACGTGGTACCTCATAAAGATGGACAATTTTTATATTTTATCTCTCAGTTAAAACAATAAGTTTAATTTAAATTTAAGCCTTTGAAAATATTTCCTTTATTTAAAGTATCAGAACAAGTAAGACAAAATGCTTAAAGGTAAACAAAATTATTGATTCATTGTTATTAATTTAATAGGACAAAGATAGAAATCAATAATTGGACAAACTCCAGCTGTAAAATTTCTCTGCTCTATTTAGCCCATATCAAAGTAGTCCTTCATGGACTGAAAAAATATTTTTATCAATTATTTATGGAAAAATAAAAACATTTGACCATATGTTTTAGTGACAGAAAATATCCTTGAATAGCAACGATACAGATAAAATTATTGGAAATAATGGGAAAACAGATGGAATTAAAATAAAACATTGTTACTTGGTAACTGCTTAAAAATGTTTCACCAATATTCAGTTATAGAGTTCCTACAAAATAAATGATTAATAAAAACCGTATATGGAAAATCACAGAATCAAACCATAAGCAACAATGGATATGAACTAAAACACCAATAGTATAAAATATTAAGTCTAAATAATTCATGAAAAGGTGAAGCTTTTTGAATATTTAAATAAGATTGCAATTTAAGATATTCTAAAAAAACTAGGTCAATTCTAAACAAAGAAAAGAAATTCATAAAGATTAAACAAAATATGAATTCTGTTAGAAAAAAAACAACAATGGCCATATTACAATTCAACAACCAATATTTTTGGAAAATCTACTTAGAGAAAAGCTTCAAATGTTCAAACATAAAATGAGAAAGAATTTACTAAAGAGAAAGGGAAATATTTTAAGTTGAGTAATCAGTTTGAAGACTATGGAAATAAATTGGATGTTCTCATCAAATATTAACTTTCATAGAAAATGTAATTGGATAAAACAGCTGTGATAAGATGAAGGAGAAGAATATAGAAAGCATCCACTCTAAGTGCCCCCTGTGGAATGGTGGAGGATCCTGATCCCAGTGGTTTGAAGAACTGGCAAGTGTGCCCCTTTGAAACACTTGCAGACACATGAGTCCAAGTGCTTGCGTCTTGGCGTCTGCCTCTAACTAGACACAGACCACAGGTTGGGAAGCACCACGGCCTTTGCTAAAGGGTTTTCCAAGGGGAGAGTGCAGCCCTCACTCACGTCCCCAGAGGAGGACACCTTGCTGTCTTGTGCATGTGATGATGCAACTCCCATTTATAGGACACTGAGAACCAAATCTGCCCACTGGGCAGCTGTATGACCCAGGCAAATGTCACCTCACCCACTCACGATGCCCTGCAAGGCTCTCAGTTTGCTTCCTGACGGGGAAAGAGCCATTGCATGGTCTTCCTGTGCTGGGAAATCTTCCTCACACCAGCTCCATCTCTCAGGGAAGGAAAATCTCTGAGGTGGATGCCTGAGTCTAACCCAGATTGTCTCTGTGCTTGACAGAGGAGTTACCCTGGATGACATGATTGGACCATTTTCTCTAATTCTTCTTCTGTGTTTAGCTGGCTTTGGAAGAACTATCAGTATGTGCTGGCTTTCTACTTTGCCATCGAGGAGATCAACAAGGACTCCCACCTGCTCCCCAACCTGACCTTAGGTTTCCATGTCTATAATGCCTTTTCCAGTGACCAGTTCACCTTGTGGAGCACTCTGCTTTGGCTGTCTGGGAAAATGCAGACTCTACCTAATTACAACTGCCAGACACAGAGCAAGTCTGCTGCCGTCATTGCAGGGACCGTGTCAGCATTCTCGGCAGAGATTGGAACCCTTCTAGAGCTCTACAGGACCCCACAGGTAGGTGGCTATAAATTCTGGGGAGAAATTTGGGTCTCTTCCAATCACAGTCCCTCACATCTAATCAAAGGGAAATTTGACTGCTGGGATTCCATATCCCATGAGGGATAAAACAGATCCCAAGGAATTGTAGAGGTTGCAAGATACCTCCTTTTATTCCACCTTTATTCCCACTACTTGAGATGAAAAGCACATGGGGATCTTGCGCATTGACTTTAAGGGAAGTCACGTGTCCTTTCCCGAAGGATGTGGGGCAGGATATCATGGTCTTCCCTGTGTTCAGAAGGAGGGAACTGGGCAATTTCTACAGCATTTGTTATGGTTTAGATATGAGGTGTCCCCCAAAAGCTCATGAGTGGGATGATGCAAGACATTTTAGAGGTTAAATGATTGGGTTATGAGAGCCTCAACTTAGTCAGTGCATCAATCCACTGATGTAACTGGGTGGTGACTGTTGGCAGGAAGAGTGGCTTTTCTGCACCACACTCTTCTTCCATGATGTGCTGCCTCACCTTGGACCCAGAGAAATGGGGCTGACTGTCTATGAACTGAGAACTCTGAAACCATGAGCCCCAAAGTAAACTTTCCTCCTCTAATTGTTGTTGTCAGATCTTTTGGTCACAGCAGAGAACATACTGACTGAAACCGCACTCCTTCCCTTTCCCCGGCAGTAATCCATTTGTGAGCCCTCACCTAGAAAATTCTGCTGTGCCATGCCCTAGAAAGCAACCCCATGTCCAGTTTAACTTAGAATCTTGATATTTTTCTTTACTCATTCAGGTCACGTATGGACCTTTTGATCCCATGCTGAGTGATAAAGACCAGTTTCCATCGCTCTATCAGATGGCCCCCAAGGACAGCTCTCTGGCCCATGCGATGGTCTCCTTATTGCTGCACTTTGGCTGGACGTGGGTGGYGCTCTTCCTGTCTGATGATTTGAAAGGAGAGCAGTTCCTGAGGGATCTGAGAGCAGAGATGGTCAAGAATGGTATCTGTGTGGCCTTAACAGAAAAGCTCCCTGTCACTAAGATAATGTATGGGACAGGGGATATCACCTTCATGAGTAGGATCAGAGTCTCCTCTGCAAACGTGCACATACTCCACGGTGAAGCAGGGAGCCTCATCACCGTGGACATGGCAGCAGACTTCTTTTTAACCACAGGGAAGGTGTGGATCATGGCAGGGAAGCAGGAGATCGTCCTGCACGAGATGAACCACATGCTGCACTCTTTCCACGGGGGCTTCTCCTTCTCACCTCACAAGGGGGAAATCCCTGGCTTCAGACACTTCCTCCAGACAGTGACCCCTTCCCACTACCCGGAAGACTTTTACTTCTCTAAATTGTGGTTGCACCTCTTTCATTGCTCACCGGCTGGGTCACTATGTGGACAAATTTATAATTGCCCTCCAAATGCATCCTTGGAGTTTGTGTCGGGAGTAATTGACATGATGACCCTGTCTGACTCCAGCTACTTCATCTATAATGCTGTGTATGCAGTGGCCCACGTCCTCCATAACATGCTTGTTCAGAAAACTGAAATGGGATCTTTAGAAGACCAGCTTAGGCTTCATCCCTGGCAGGTAAACCTCCTTCAGAACCAGGTCATGCCTGCAACTGAGGGCATCCGTGGGTATTATACTGCAGATCGCATAGCCTTGTTTTCATCTTAACATCAAAGTATCAGGAAAAATGAAATATCAGTTCTTTGACACTGGATATATTACAGGTAATTGCCATATACAGATAATTGGATATGTACAGATACTTGTTATCTGTATCAGGAGAATTCTGCTAGAGGAGGCTGTGGTTTCCTGAAATTAAAAAAAAAATGTTACATCAAAAATACTTGCACATGTAAGATAAAATTATGTAAAGTATCCAAACACAGCCCATGACAGAACAGATAGGGCAATAAGTAATCAAACCTATACATTTCCTTAGAGTGCACACAAATGTAGAGAATACTGACATGGTGGCCACATCTGTCAACAGCTGTTCCACCTAAAATACTATGTCCCAAGTCCTTTAGGAGATACATTCAGTGAAAAGAGAGATGAGAAATGGCTCCTAATAGTATCCTAAAATGACTCTGCAGAATGAATCAGGTTTTGACATCACTATTCATCAAAAACTTGGAACAAGCTTGGGAAAGGGATTATGGTTCCGTTTTTAGATGTTATGCCACCAATGATGCCTGTCAGCTCAGGCTATTTCCCTGGGTCCTGTATGGGTTTTTCTGAATTTCCACTTGGCTTATCTGAATCAATAACCCATTCAAGGAACACATTTATAATCTCTCATGAAAAGGGACAAATTGTTTAATGAAATTTATCAAGTAAATCAATTAAATTTTATTACAGAGGTGTGAAATGTTATGCCATCGAGTTTAATTTACCATCTGTATATTTTGAATAACAATAATATTTGATATGCCATATTGAGTTTATTTAGATGTGATTCTAAGAAAACTAGTTGACTTTAACAAGATAAACTCAATGACATAATTGTGGATTATTTAGAATGCTTCAACTCCACAAAACTGAAGACTTAAACAACATTTATTTAAAGAACAACAGGCATTTACCTTCCCAACATAGTGTCACAGATCCCAGAGATTCAGTGTTACCACACTCTATGAAAGATCATTAGAATCTGGAGTTTCAATTTTTCTATTTTAAGGCAAAGACCACTACCTGCAATATTACAAGATGGCGACATTTTCCAAAAAAAGGTTGAGGGCATAGAGAGAAAACAACTCACATCATGCTTTCTTAATCATTATCGAAGTATAATTGACACATAAGCAATGCTCGTATTCAATGTAAACATTCTCATGATTTTTGACATATTCATGCACTCATGCTACTAACACCAGCAACACATCAGTCCATGTTGTGACCATTTCAGTGTGCAAAGATTGACCCCTGAGAAGCCCTAAATGGATCTGATTGGTCAAGATTGCAAGGAGTCCATGCCAAGGCCTCCCTGGTGACATCATCCTAGAATTTTTTTGACTGGATTCATTCACTCCAACATTGTTTTCAGAGAAAGAAGGGTTTTTCCCAGTTGAATCCATGAGATGGTAGCCACCAAACAGAACTGAGACACTAATGCCAGTGTCTTCAGAGTGAGGGGAGGTAGAAGAGATGGACTTCCTGGTACATATGGTTTTCCATCTTTCATTTAGATGCACTCCTCATGTCCAACTCTGCCTCCTGCAGCTGCATCCGTTYCTGAAGAACCTCYGGTTTACCAACAGCGCTGGGGACCACATCTCCCTGGATGAGAAGAGCAGCCAGATGGCCCAGTATGACATCCTCAACGCTGTGAATTTCCCTGCTGGTCTCGGGCTGCTGGTTAAAGTGGGACAGTTTGTCCCCAGGAGTCCACTGGGTCAAGGCTTGGTCATCAGTGAGGAGATGATAGAATGGCCTATTGGATTCACAGAGGTACGATCCCAGTTCAGTGTTGGGTTCATGGGAGGGATCCGGATGGGGCCCTGAGATGAGCCTGACCGTGACCTTTAACCTGGCACTAAACTCACCCCTGCCATCTGTACTTGTAGTATGTTTCTTCCGTTTGCGTATTTTAAGCTGAGCTCTATACAAAGAGCAGGTTTATAGAAGCCATCACTTTTTTAGTTTTTGTAATTAGTTCAAACAGCAAGTGAGAGAATGAAATGAACAAAGTTAATGAATGGAGATAAAGGGGTAACAATGGAGATGAATAAATACCAAAAATGTCCCTCCATAGATCCTGAAACCCTTTATTAAATATGGCCTGGATCTTCATTGTGCTTTTATGCCCTAAGAATATGAGTGAACTGTGGACTCACATCTTTGCAGAGACCATTCCCATCCTCTTTTGGCATTTTATACCATTCAGTCCTCAGCCTTTCTTCTACTCAACATCCCAATGTATTGGCAAGACTTTATGTCAGGTTTTGGCCTTGGGATGATCCCACCAAGTGTTCCAGGAGACTGAAGTAACAATCATGACGCATTGTTCATTGGTACCAGTGGTGCCCAGCTGGGTGGGGTGGTGCATGCACATAATCCCAGTTACTTGGGAAGCAGAGGCAGAAGGATCACAAGTTCAAGACCAGTGAGCAACTCTTCAAGACACCATTTCAAAATATAAAAATAAAAATGGCCTAGGAGTATAACATCATTGTATTTCAGTTGCCTAGAATTCACAAGACCCTGGCTTAAGTCCCCCATACTGCAACCAACCTACCAACCAACAATCCACGCCAGGATGATGATGCCCGCAGCAGAATAGACCCAAACCATGGTGTTAATGCCCTCTCATCACTTCTCTCTTGACCTTGCTCCTTTCAGCAGCTACTGTCAACAGTACTCCTGCTCGGCTTTATGGGTTCATTCTTAGCATGCCTAATAGTGGGATTCATTATCCATGGCCACAGCATAGTTCATCAGTCTCCTTCCCCAGTGCCTCCCTTCCCCCCTCCCGATTCCTTGTCACTTGCTCTACTCTACTGGTTTCCATTCTCTTGTCATAGTCATTCATTATTATTTTAATTAATGCATTCTACTACCACATGAATGCCGGGTTCATTTGGGGTGTATTCACATATGGACAGAACAGACTGACAGAATTCATTCCCAATACTTCCCATGCCCACTGCCCCTCCTCCCTGTCCATCCCCCTCTCTTCTCTGTAGGTCTCCCTTCTATTTTTGTAAGTTGCTATTTTTGTTCTCCCCACCTCCCAGCCTCTCTCCACACATGAAATAAAAATTTCAACCCTTGACTTTGAGTCTGGCTTATTTCACTTAGCATGATGTTTTCCAGTTCCAGCCATTTACCAACAAATAACATAATTTCACTCAACATTATGACTGAGTAAAACTCCATCATGTATATCTGCCACACTTGTTATCCTTGTGTCTGTTAATGGGCACCTGCCCTGATTTCATAATCAGCTATGGTAAATTATGCTGCTATAACCTGGAAGAGGTGAGTCATACAGTAGTTCCATCTGGGTTTTGCGGAATCTGTAATAGTACTAATTGTCAACTTCCCCCACAGTGCATACATGGACCTTTTCCTCCACATTCTTGCCAGTAATTAATGGTGTGTGTGTTCTAGATGACTCCCAGTCTAACTGAAGTGAGAAGAAATCCCAGTGTAGTTTTGGTTTCATTTTTCCAACCAAGAATGAAAGTCAGGTAAAAATACCATCAGGCGTAGAAACTCTTGGAATCATCGGCACATAGAACCTTGCATCCCAGAGCTTTGGGGGAAGAGGTTAAATACAAAGAGGGAAAAGGCTGGGGGTGCAGCTGGTGATGCAGGAAAGAAAATGACCAGGAACCTGGAGAATATTTAGTAAAACAAAGTCAAGGTAGCACAGGTATCCAGGTCAAGAAGCTGAGGCCATGTCAACACGGTGGGAGTGGTGGACGCAGTGGTGAGGACTTCCTGCCAACATCAAGGATCTCTTAGGAGACACATGGACACCTTTGAAGCCGCAGGTAATCTCAGAATCATGACTGTGGCTCTTTTCCCTCAGACTCCTCGATCTGTGTGCAGCCAGAGCTGTCGCCCAGGATTCAGGAAGATCCCCCAGGAAGGAAGGCCCGTCTGCTGCTTTGCTTGTGTGTTTTGCCCAGAGGGACACATTTCCAATCAGACAGGTAGGTGATGCGGGAGGGGCCCATGGTCACTCTGCCTTCTGACCAGTCCTAAGTGAGGACACCAAGGCTGTTGGCCTCACACTGGGGCCACAGCGCACCCTGCTCTCCATCTTCCCGCTCACTCACTCTTTCACTCTTTCCATGTTAACCTCACTGTTGCCACCCGGTTAGGTGTCAGCTCTGTCAGCAGGGCTTTTCCTGTTAGGCACCCTGTGGTGCTGGGCCAGTGGTCACAGTCCTTGACCATCAGTGCGGGTGAGACAGTGTCCATCTGAGATTTCCCAGCGTATCAGGCAAAGTCTGTCCATGCGGGTAAGATGTCAAATGCACAGAGCTCCCTGGGGGTGCACGGAGGCCTTGAAACCAACACTTTTGCATACCAAATGATAAGTATATAAATCATCATAAAAAATTCTATTCTGTTTTGTGCCATGTCATGAACTCTGAACAGTTTTGTGCCAAACACACATACTTAATATAAATATAGCTATAATGTCAGATTATATAACATAGAACAAGAAACGGAAGAAGTGAAAATATGAAGTCAGCATCCTAACAAGACACGATCTGGGATCCCTGAAGATAAGTTCTATACGCATCTCTAATTTCAGGAATTTTATGTCTAAATTAAATATATTCCTGGAAAATAGAAAACATAGCATTACTCATTCAAAAATATTTGTGTTTTTCAAGATATCAATAATACACATTATAATGACTTGAGCCCCCATAAATACTGTTCAATTGCCATCATCTTAACAGTAAGAATCATTTTTATTTCAATCACATGGCAAAGTCAATAGATGTCTTCAGGGAAAAGTTAGCTAACAAAATCTCACATTGAATTTTTTTTTTAAATACCAAATAAGTGTGTAAAATAAGAAAGAGAAATAAAGGCACACAGGCTCGGCACCCATTATGCAACATACACACACACTTGTGTGTGCCAAGCCCTCACAAGATGATGCCAGGAGACAGATGCCAGGAGCCCTGTTCACTGTGCCGAGGAAGGAGAATCTCAAGGAATATGAGAAACAGTCACTGTCAGTTAGTTTGGAATTCTGTATTATTGCATGAGCACTTCTTATGAAACCTAAATAAGACTGTCAGCAGGGAAACTGCCAGCTGGTTCTATCATAAAATAGATCTAAGCACAGACAGGGCCATTCGTGAGCCCACGGCAGAGGCTGCATCCTTGCTGTGAGAGTAGGTGTGAGCCGTGGCAGGGGGAGCACAGGGCACCCAGGACAAGATACCCATGACCCACCACCTCACAAAGGAGGGTCACCACCCACACTGTCTGTTTTCAATGAACAGAAAGGTTTAAAGATGCCTGTTCTTCAGTAACCACATTACTATATCAATTAATATAAAAATAATCACATAGCAGCCATATATTCCCATTCAAAATTCAAATATTTCAATCACTCTCTTGTCAGTACTTATATGGAAAATTAGACCAAAATATTCACAGGAAATGATCATTTCCAATAAGAAAAAATTTTAAACTATCACCAGAAATTATGGTCGTGACAAAGGTAGAATGAACCAGAAGGGCTGCATCACTGACTTCTCCATTGGGTGTAACCAGGAGAGCTTTCTTAGGGGAATAGTAAATGTCATAAGTGTGTCAACCCGGGGCTCAACAGGAGCAAGACTGTGGGCAGGCAGAGAGAGGGCGGAAGAGCCAGGTCCTTGGGGACACTACGCAGCCCAGGGAGGCTACCTCAGCCCACAACTTCTGAGGATCCCATTGGAGTGGGTGTGGTCTTCTCCTGGAGTCAGGAAGAGAGGAAATTCTCTACATATCTCAGGACTATGTCAGGCAGCTGTTCTCACAGTGATAGTGCAAAAACAACCATTTCCTTTCATTTAAAAGTGAGGATTTTGTGAAAAAGAAACAATGAACCTGTGCTTTTTCCCCAGATGCAGAGTGGTGTGTCCAGTGCCCCGCACACGAGCACCCTAACAGTGAGAGGACTCACTGCCTCCCCAAGGTAGTGACCTTCCTGGCCTATGAAGACCCCTTGGGCATGGCTCTGGCCTGCACGGCTCTCTGCTTCTCTGCACTCACAGCTGCTGTCCTTGGGGTCTTTGTGAAGCACAGAGACACCCCCATAGTCAAGGCCAA